CAAAATACACAGTTCTTATTCCAATTCACCATGCCGGGCCGGGGATTTAGCTCAGTGGTTCCGCCGCCTGCCTTGTAAGCGCAAGGACCCGAGTTCAATCCCCGGTACCAAAAAAACCCCCAACAACAATAACAACAACAAAAAGCAACCAAGTCCCAGTGTTCAGAACACGACGGTGGCATTGACCTCAAAGGAATCTCAGGGAGAGCTGGCCAAATGCTCATCTGGCCCCAGGGCCGCCCGGAGATGCCACTGTCCCTGAAGTGTACCAAGGTAAGTCCAGTAAGGGGTAGAGCCCAGAGACCCTGAGCCACAGACATGGTGCTGCCACACCAGACACTTGCCCCACGAAGTCACAATCCCGCCCACAGCCCTCTGAGGCAGAGAGCTCTTATATTTATAGACAGGAAACCAAGGTTCAGAAATGTAGAGGGGAGAGCAGAGAAGAAAATGACAAAGTTAGAAGATGACATGCTGGACGCCACTGTCCGGGCTGCTCCCGCCTGCCGGGTCTCCCTCCCCCATCTCAGAGCTCCACCTTCTGATCCCCAGTGTAGAGACAGAGTGTTGCCGTCCTGTTCCACTGGTGAAGACTAAATAAACACATCTGGTTTCCTCAGGCCCCGGCTGCCTCATGCATTTCCAACAAAAAGGATTCGGCTTTGAGGATCCAGCCTCTCCTAATCAGCAGCTGCTCTGAGAGGCAGCGACTTCAGAGCAGGAAAGCTGCAGGCACAGGAGGAAGCCCAAAAAGCAGCACCACCTGGAGCTGTTGGGGACAGCTGTGCCCGAGGGGCCACCAGCAGGAGTTCTTCCAGGTGGTAGGGGTTCTAGTCTCATCCTGTGGGATGTGACCGGATGTGTTCAGGTGATGCCTTTGTAACTGGCTGTCCTCGGGGAATGAAACTCACAAAGCTGAGCAGGGTGGCACACGTGTATAATTCCAGGACTCCGGGAGGGAGGCTGAGGCAGGATGATCACAAGATCATGCCTAGCCCGGGAAATTTAGCAAGACCCTGTCTCAAAATAAAATATAACACTAGCAAGTGCAAGGTCCCGAGTTCAATCCTGGGTACCAAAAAAAATATATTAATGAGAATATATAGATATATAACAAAAGAGCTGGGAATGTAGTTCAGTGTGAAGGTCCTGGGTTCAATCCTCAGTACCACAAAATAAAACAAAAAGGCAGCTGTTTCTGAGGGGATCCAAAGCGTGACATCACACGTGGCAATTTCCCTCTTTACAAACTGTGCAGAGCGGCAGAGCACTGCCCACCCTGCTTCCCACCACAGCCCTGCTGCTGCTGGATCTTGCTGGATCATTGACTGACTATAACTGTCTTATGTGGCTCCTAACAGCAGCCCCTAACAGTGGAACATATCAGCACCAGAACTTCCAGCCTTGTCCCTCTTTGTGTCTGAGACAGGGCCTCACTAAGTCACGAACTGGCCCCACCTGGGCTCAAACTTGCAGTCATCCTGCCTCAGTTTCCCAGAGTGCTGGCTTAGTGGCTCCTTCACCTGTGGTGAAGGCTCGGCCGGGGACCTCATGAGCAAGACATGTTTTCGCTCTTGTGGTTCAGCAGAGTGGCATCCAGTGAGACTGATCAAAGCACTCTGCAGCAGAAAACAAGCAATGATGTTTCCCCCAATGTATGGGAGAAAAAGAACCTAAATGCATGTAAACAATTCATTTTTTTATTTTTTTGGTATCGGGGATCGAACTCAGGTCCTTGCGCTTGCGCAGAAGGTGGTGAAACCACTGAGCTAAATCCCTGGCCCCATAGACAATTCATTTTAATGTTTTTGCTTTTCTACCTTATTCTCAGACTGCGGTGCTTGACACTGCTTGTCCGAAGCAGAATCTGGACGGCATAATGTACAGTGACAGTCACAGCAACCACGCACACAGCACGCCCCCCAGGCACTTCTGCTTGTTTTTTTGTCTGTTTGTTTGTTTTTTGAGACAGGCTCATGCTCTGTAGTCCAGGCTGGCCTCAAACTGACGCCTCGGCACTATTCCGAGCATTTTAATATATTAATACATTTAATCCTCACAATCACCCTATTGGTACTGTAATTATCCCTATTTTACAGATAAGGAAACTGAGGCACAAAAGCAACTTGCCAGAGTTCACAAAGCTGGGAAGTGTGGAGTTGATGTCATGAACGCACTGGGCTGGCTCCAGGGCCGACGCATCTGCCCATGTTCGCACACTGCCTTGAACCTCGAAATAAGCTCTACTTTAGTTGTTGTTACACCGATAGTCACAGAGTTCTGCAAGCCCTGGCCAGGGCTCCAGGGCTCTGTGCCTGACATCAGGAACAGCTGTGCTTTGGAGTCAGAAGCCGCTGCCCCTGGGTGACCTCGAGCCAGCTGCGAGCCTCTGAGAGTCGCCTTAGCGTCTCCTGCGGAGATGACAGGGCGAGTGAGGGGCTTGACGCAAGGCCTGAGCCACCGGCTGGCTTCGTCCTTGAGCCCAGGTGTCCTGGGCAGAGGCTGGTCGGCACCGAAGCTTCGCCTGGTCTTTTCTGCCACTCCCTTTGCTCCCTGGAGAAGGGAACCGACTTCCAGATTGGGCCAGCAGCAATGTGCGAGAGCAAAGCAAAAGGCAGCTCCAGGAGCAGCGGGATTCTCGGGAAAGAAGCCTGGGCGGGGAGGAGAGGGTGCCGACTAGGCTGGGGAGCGCTTGGGGTTTGTGGGTGGGCCGGGGCTCAGGCACGGAGGAAGGAGGCAGACAGAAGGCAGAATGGGGATGAGCTAGCCCTGGTAGGAGACGCTAGAGAAACCTCACTGGTCACGGGAAATCACTACAGAATTCTCCCCAGCAGTCACAGGGCGGGAGTGGCCTCCGACCCTGGGCTCCTGGCGGCGCAGCGGCCGGGATGAGCCTGCTGGGAGGGTCTCTACCGCCCCGCCGCCGTGGGTTCACGCCACTGGCTCTGCCCGGAACCAGAACTCAGCCACTGGCCTTGAGCAACACAGACCAGCCCTGCACAGGCTGCTCCTGGGGAGGCGGCGCAGGAGCGGGGGGAGTGGCAGCAACTCGACCCTGGGCACAGAGTGGGTGGGCCAGGCCACTTGGGGCAGGGAGGTGCGAACAGAATTGGGGACCTCAGAAGGTGGAGTGGGGGTGGGGGTGGGTCGAGCTTGATGTGTCCGGAAGGGGTCTGGCTTCCGAAATGGAGCTGGGCGCTCAGGAGGCGGCAGAGAGGCAGCGGCATCACCAACCTCCCCGCTGGGCTGGGCGCTGGGTGCCAGTTTCCCCACCTCGACGGGAAGGCCCCGTTTCCACTGTGTCAGTGAGGAAACCAATCATCTGGTCTGCAAGGACACAGCTAGCAGGTGGCAGGACTGGGATCTGAACCCAGGGTCCCGACTCTGACTGGTATGGGGGATCGAACTTGGGTCCTTGTGCCTGCAAGGCAGGCAGCAGAACCACTGAGCTAAATCCCTGGCCCGCCAACTCTGACTTCTTTTCTAAATATGTGGTGGGAGCCAGGATGTAGCTCAGTGGTGCCTCACATCCCTGGCAAACACAAGGTCCTGAGCTCGATTCCCAGTACTGAGAAAAAAAAAGGAAGAAAGAAAAAGCCTGGCTAAAATACGCGGTGGGAGTCAGAGGTGGGCATGTCCTTGACAGGCATCATTGATGGGGGGGGTTGCTTACTTTTTTTTGGTACCGGGGATCAAACTCTGGTCCTTGCGCTTGCGCAGCAGGTGGCGAAACCACTGAGCTAAATCCCCAGCCCTGCTTACTTTTTTTTTCTTTGCAACACTAGGAATCCACCCAGGGTCTTACACCGAGCTATGTCCACATAACTTTTTCATTTTTTGTTTTGAAACAGGGTTTTGCTAAGTTGTTTGCACTGACCTAGGACTTGAGAACTTCCTGCCTCAGCCTCCTGAGTAGCTGGGATACAGCTGTATGACACTGTACCCAAATTCATTTAGTCTTTTTTTGTTTTTATTTTTTTTGGGTTTTTTTGGTACCAGGGATTGAACTCAGGACCTTGTGCTTGCAAGGCAAGCAGCAGCACCACTAAGCTAAATCCCCGGGCCTCATTTACTCTTAAAAATCTGGATCTGATGAAAATCATAGTCCTCCTTCTTAGAAAAATCCATCGCTACATTCTCAAAGACACATAATTCCATATGTATATTTTGGGGTTCGGGAGCTCCCCCAAAGCCCATCGATGCAAAGAAGCCCAACCCTGTGGAATTGGGCCCCCTGGACATTTCCCTACAGCCCGGGAAGGCCAGGTGGCAACCCCCTTCTCCAGGTGTGGAAACACGGGTCCTGCCAGGGTTCTCAGACTCAACCCAGGCTAGCGTTACATCAGAAGGAAGGGGCGCGTTGGGGATGGAAGGTGCCCTGAGGGTCACCCTGCAGGGACCCCTAGACCAGGCTCTGTGGCCAAGCCAGAGGACGCATCTGTGTACTCCGATGCTGGGACAGGAGGGGTCCTGGTGGGAGGGCGAGCTCAGGCCCTGCCAAGGCCTGGCCCGCACACCCTCCCATGTCCTCCCGCGGCCTCTCGAGCAGGAAACTACCCTGCCATTTTCACAGATATGGAGAACCCAGGGTCTGGCCTGGGGCCTCACACCTGCCTGGGCCCCCCGACTCGGAGTCCGGCCCCTCCGCACACAGCTCACCTCGCAGGGCTCGCCTGGCCCTCCCCCACCTCCCGAATGTGTGGCTGGACTTTGCCTCCAGCTCGACTGACCCCCCAGCCCAGGCGGAGTCCAGAGCGGCTCCCCCAGGCGCCTCCTGAGACCCGGCCACTGGCCCTGAAAGTCAGGCCTCCTCAGGCCCTCTCCCGAGGCCCAAGGCCCCACGCCCAGACCCCAGACCCACTGGGGACCCAACAGGAAGGAGAAAGGGGGGGAGAAGCCTCGGGGGATTCCTGGAGGTCAGAGGGAGGCAGAGGAGGGACAGAGGAGACCGGCCGCCAGAGGAGAAGGGGCAGAGCCGTGGGGATGGGGGGGCCCTTCACCTTCAGTGTCCATGGCGACTCAGGGCCAGCTCTGCTCCAGTGTCCCCGAGGCCCAGGCCAGGGCTGGGGCTTCGGGCAGGAGGAGGAGCCCGGCTCAGCCCCTCCCAGAGCCTCCCTGGGCCGCACACACCCAGGGTCGGGCTGGGTCGCCCAGCCCTCCTGGCCCCACCAGCTGTGCGGCTGTGAAACCCTGTGCTCCCTTGTGAGGCCAGAAAGCCTTTCTGATGGTGAGCTGGGAACCAGGGCCAAAGACCCCGGTCCAGGTCCTAATCCCATTCTTTCTTTCCTTATTGGAAATGGAGAGTTTTTCTTTTTTTTGGTATGGGGGATCAAACTGGGGACCTTGTGCTTGTGAGGCAGGTGCAGTGCCACTGAGCTGAATCCCCGGCCTAAGCCCATTCTCTTTTATCTCAAATACTGAGAATCAAGGGAGGAAATTCTTCAAGTGACAGAGTAGAAACTCCACAAATGGCCGCTCCTTTTTTTCTTCCCTCTTCTGGAGTGCTCTGGTTTCCATGTGTCCCCCCAAAGTTCACGTGTTGGAAACTCAGTCCCCCAACTTCACAGGTTTAAGGTACTCGAGGTGGTGCCAGTGGGACAGGATCGGGGGCGGCTGAGGCACTAAGGGTGCAGCCCCTGCACTGGTGTCAGAGGCTTTAGAAGCAGAGGGAGGAGAGCGGTGCCTGGGATCCTCACTCAGGGTGCCCTCTGCTGTGCTCTGGGCAGAAGGAAGGCCCCAGCCAGGAGCCCTCGCTTTGCCATGGGCCTGCAGCCTACGGGGCTGTGAGCAGCAGGTTTCTGTATAAGCACCCAAGGGTGTTCTGCCATGTCAGTACAGACTGGGGTCCACATCTGAATTAGAAAAAACTGGCAAACTGTCAACGACCAGTCGGGACTTCAGGCAAGTTCCGGTCCAAGAGCTGACAGGGTCTCCGGTACTTCATGGGAAACTCTTCTTGCTAAAGTCGCTCACAGTGAAGGCTGCCAAACCCTTGATGTTGTCCAGTCCTCTCCTTGGTCCGTCTTTGCAGCCCTGCACTAGGGGGCAGGTTAGCGCAGCATCCAGGACCTAAAATGGGTCAGGCTCTTTCCACCCTAGCACCCTGCTTGCTCCTGAGTCTGGGCCTGCTTCTGATAGCCCTTCTCCCAAATGTCGTTTTCTCCTAATTTATCTTTTATTTATTTAATTTTTTTTTTGGTACCGGAGATTGAATTCTGGTCCTTGCGCTTGCAGGGCAGGCGGCAGAACCACTGAGCTAAATCCCTGGCCCTCCTAATTTATCTTTTAAAGTCTCTTTCTCCTCTCTTGCAGGCCTTTCTTCCTACATCCAGCCTCGGATATTGGCGTGTGTTCTGAGGGGGAGGCACTGCTTCCCTTTCCCTCCCAGGCACCCAGATAAACTACACTTCCCAGCCTCCTTTGCACTGAGGCAGCCACAGACCTGAATTCCCCAGGAATGTGGGCAAAAGTGATGGGCATGGCATCCAGATCTAGCCCAAACACAGCAGCCTCCTCCCTCTCAGGCAGAGAGGCTCCCAAAGGCTGACAGGCTTCCTCACTCTGAGGCTCCCAAAGACAGAGCCACAAAACAGAAGGAGCCTGGGTCTCCGGATGACCTTGTGGAAGGTCACCCACCAGACACCAGCAATGAGCTGTTACATAAGCAAAGAGAAAACTTCTGTTGAAGACAGACCCCGAGATTTAGGGGTTATTTGTGAACAGCAGCTAGTGTGTCCTGACTATTACACTTATAATCTCTCCACACAATAGTAATAAATTATATGATTTATGGGCCCAGGACGCTTCCGCTGTGCAACTCTGCTGCTAAAATTATATAATTCATGCATTTGTATATTCACACCTTTATTTTATTTATTTTTGGTACCAGGGATCGAACTCAGGACCTTGTGCTTGCGAGGCAGGCTAGGTGTCACTGAGCTAAATCCCTGCCCCTGCCATACCTTTATTCAAACTGGGCATAGTGGCTCACACACCTGTAGTCCCAGGTACCTGGGAAACCAAGGCAGGGGAAATGCTTGAGTCCAGGACTTCAAGGCCAGCCTCGGCAAAATAACAAGCCCCTATATTTAAAGAATATTTAAAAAGAAAATTACTATCTATAATCAGATAAACCCATATCTCCAACCCCGCATTCCCTAAGCTCCAGGTCACTATTTCTAACCATCTCCAAAAATGTTAACTTTTTTTTTTCGGTAAGGGGGATCGAACTCAGGACCTGGCGCTTTCGAGGTGCAGTGCCACTGAGCTAAATCCTTGGCCCTTTTTTGGTTTTTTTGAGTCAAGGTCTCGTGCTGTAATTCAGACTGGCCTTGAACTGTCACCGATTCTCTTGCCTCAGCCTTCCCCCAAATCCTGGGATTGCAGGCGAGAGCCCCCACGACAGGCCTCCTCTTCACGTTTTCACAATTAAGCTCATGTCCCCAGAACCACTCAGCCCCTGCACTTCCAGATAATGTCTTCCTGCACCCCTCAGTGGCCAATTCATTCTTAAGCCTTATTCTCCGAATACACCAGAGCCGGGCCGAGGCTCAGTTGTGGCGGAACAGCGCCGCCCGCCTGCCTGGCAGCGTGACTCCGAAGGGCAGACCTGATGGAGCCACGTGTGAGCTTCAAGCCGTGCGGTGCACTCACTGGTTCGTTTTCCCCACTCAGTAACGCGGCCAGAGCTTCCGCGCCAGCAGGGCCTCGGGAGCGAGACGCCCTGCAGCTTTGCAGGAGCTGCGAGCCCGAGAGCGAGGGCCGCATCGCATGCCGACAGCGGGCGGCTGCGCGTCTCGGGGCTCCGTGGGAGTGGACAGCGAGCCCCAGGTCTCGCGAGGTTGGGAGAGGCCGCGCTTCACAAGGTCAGGGACGCTCGCGCTGGATCTCGACGGCTGCGGAGTCTGTGGAAGCCGGGCGCTGGGCTGGCTTCCGCAGAGAGGCGCAGTGGAAGGGTGAGCGGCGGCTCCCTTCACGGCCAACACGGTCGGCTCAGCCTCGGCTTCGGTATCCGCTAAGGCGCAGCCGGGCCGCCCCGACACCGCCCGCGGACTTGGGCGGGCTGGGAGGGTTCACAGGACGCGGGGCGGGCATATGTGCACTTCCGCCAGGGACCGCGCCCTGGGACTCTCCCTGCCGTTGCAGCCAGCTTCAACTGCTGCTCTGAGGCCCCACCCCAAACCTCAGAGCGAGAATGGGCCGCCGCCCGCCGTGAAGGCTCCTGAACCCAAGACTCACTTCCGAGCTTGACCATTTTCTCTCCACTTTTGCTTGGTCTGTTTTTGTTTCAACTTCAGAAATCACAAAAACATTTTTTTGTTGGTTTGGTTTTAGTTTGGTTTGGCAGGTTTTTGTTTTTGATACAGGGTCTCCCTATGTAATTCATGGTGGCCTAGAACTCACTGTGTAGCCCAGGCTGGCTTCAAATTCCCAATGATCCTGCTACCTCAGCCTCCCAAAGCTGGGATTACAGGGCTGCGCCACCACACCCGGCTCTGTCCTTTTGATAACAACCATTCTGACTGGAGTGAGCTGCTATCTCATTGTGGTTTTGCTTTCCACTTCCTTGACGATGAGTGATTCTTTTTCATGTATCTGTTAGCCATCTCTCTAGCTTCTGTTTTGTTTGGGGTTGTTTTTTTTTTTTTTGGCACCAGGGATCGAACTCGGGTCCCTGCGCTAGGGTGTTTGGGTTTTTTTTGGTACCCGGTATTGAACTCGGGTCCTTGCGCTTGTGAGGCAGGCGGCAGAACCCCTGAGCTAAATCCCCGGGCCCTGGGTAGCCTCTTTTGAAAAATGTTCATTCAGATCTTTCGACTTTTTCAGTCTAATGTGCTTTTTGAATTGAGTTCCCAGTGTCTGGCAGTGGGAGAATGATAAAGAAAATGTGGTACACGTACACACTGGAATACCATTCAGTATTTGAAATATTTTTTCAGGAGGTGAGACCCCCTCACTGGGGAAAACTGGCGAAGCTGGTTGTGAGGAAAAGTAGGTGGAAATTACAATTTGAGGAATGGAAAGTTCTTAGCATCACGTCAGAGCCTTTTCCTACTGGTGAGCCGTGCTGCTGGGGTCCTCAAGACTGTCTGTAATGACCGCCACACGGAGGCAGAGCAGTGGTGGTGCAGCGTGAATGCACCCTGGTGTCACATGGCGTGGGAGTGTGACTGTGGTCAATAACACATTTCACGTCTCAAAATAGCTAGAAGAGGGCCGGGGATTTAGCTCAGTGGTTCCGCTGACTGCCTCGCAAGTGCAAGGACCCGAGTTCGATCCCTGGTACAAAAAAAAAAAAAAATAGAAAGAATTTTGAATGTTGTACAACAAAGAAATGACAAATATTCAAGTTGATGGATGTGCTAATTACCCTGATTTGATTATTACACATTGTATACATCTACCAAAACATCTCATCGTATTCCCATAACTTTGAATAATTTTTTAAAGAAAATACCAAGACTTTAATTTTTCTTATAAAGACAGCCCTGCTTGTTGAGCAAGTGGAGAGGACATATGCAGCTCAACATTTATCTGCTTCTGATTACAAACCCTAATGCCAAGGAAGTTAAATGGCGGTGAAGGGCCGATGCTTCTATCTTCACAGCAATACAGTGCTAAGTGAGCAGATACTGAGTGGGTTTAATTAATGCTGGGCATTCCCACAGGGAAAAGGCAAGAGGACCCTAAACTGACCCCAGTGGTAGCAAAGTCGAATTAGGCTGAGCCCCCGCTCCTCTCTGGCAGGCCAGCCTGGAGCCCACAGGACGGGCCGGGCTGGGCAGTGGGCACTCCTGGCCCAGAGCCCACTGAGAAAAGCGGCAAGGTCCTGCTAGGCCAGACAGCCTGGTTGTGGGGAGGCAGCTGCTCTCCGAGTTGGTCCTCTGCATGGAATGGCAAAAGGCTCAGAAAGGTGAAAGGCAAAGGCCTCAAGGCTCACACGGTGTGGCTAATGGGGTGGCTGGTTAGCCAGCCTGGACCTCAGACTGGAGCAGGCCAGAGTCCCGAGCACAGAGCCTGACAGGGAGCCTCCACCGGCCTTGGGTTGATCCATGACTGGATCCCACGTGTCTCAGAAGCTGAAGAGGGACAAGCCCAGGTAGGGGCTGCGCTGGAGGACTGGGCACTGATGGGGAGCTGACCCAGCAGCCGGCCCAGTGCCTTGGTGCGGCCTTCGTACTCAGCGTTTGTAATTGTGTCTTTTTTTTTTTTTTGTACCGGGGACTGAACTCAGGTCCTTGTGCTTGCGCAGCAGGCGGTATTTTATTTTTTTTTTTTTTGGTACCGGGGACTGAACTCAGGTCCTTGTGCTTGCGCAGCAGGCGGCGAAACCACTGAGCTAAATCCCTGGCCCTGTAATTGTGTCTTTGAACTGGCACTGAATGTGCTAGAGGCTGAGCAGGGAAACTGGACTTCACTGTGCAGAGTAGCATTGCAGAATAGATCACAGAAGTCCTCAGAGCTCCAAAAGCTCTTCCAACATTTCTCAAACACAGCAATGGCCTCAGTTGTCACCGCACTGCACCCCACAGCAAGAGACGCCCAAGAGGGACCTGTGACCCACAGTCACCGCAGCCTCCTCACTTGCATCCTTGATAAACAGATGGTTTCCATCCAGACCTGCATTTTCCACATGCACAGTTGCTGCAGGGGTCAAAGTACTGGAAGGGGCCAGGGATTTAGCTCAGTGGTTCCGCCGCCTGCCTTGCAAGCTCAAGGTCTGAAGTTCGATTCCCCCCAAACAAAACAAAACAAAAAAAAGTACTGGAAGAAGCACACCTTGGCCACTGCGCTGCCATCCTGTTCTGCCCGGTGCCACAGATAAACCAGCAGCCTGTGTTTCGGGGGTTGATGGCCGGATCCCTGAAGGGGTGGGCCACGCTGGGACCGGCCTGCTCCTTGCGCACCCCCCCCCCACTCGCCACGCCTTGGGACCCCTGCTCCGGCTGAATAATTATTGTCAATTAAAAAATAAAGCAAAGAGAGGAAGGGAACATAAAAGGAATTAAGATGTGTTCTGTACATGTATCAACTCCCCACGAGGAATTTAAGCACTATGTACTGCAAATATGTACTAACACAAATATTTTTAAAAAGAGAAAAATGCCTAGCAAGCACAAGACCCTGAGTTGGATCCCCGGTACCAAAATAAGAGAAAATGAAATAAAATAAAGTCAAGGAAGAGGAGGATCTCGGACCTTCTTGAGCAGTTTGGAAGTAATGAGGTTAGGAAGGGAGGCCTCAGCAAGAGCCAGGCAAGATGACAGAGGCTCCAGAGGCGAGGGCAGAGGACAGGAGGGGTCAGCTGGAGCTGGCTTAGAGGATGGAGAGAGGGGCAGGGCTTGGGGCCCTTTCGAAGGTGTGTTGCCTTGGCAACCAGCCAAACCGGGTGCTCACAGCTTGCTGGCCGGACCAGACTGGTCTCCCCAGGACCTGGAGAAGTATGCAGCCTTGACCCACCACCCAACTCTCCTCAAACCAGACACCCCAGGCCGCCTCATGGAACATTTTTAAATCATTTTTTTTTCTGATTTAATGTGTAATAGTAACACATTTATTGTATAAAATTTGAAAAATACAAAAAAGTGTAAACAAAACAAAAATCACACTTAAACCCATGACCTTGTGGATAACTAGCTAAGTAAACATTTAGGGTGCTTCTTGCTTTTCTCTGGTAAGTGTATGTTTTTGAATTTTTGAATTTTTTTTATTTTTGGTACCAGGGATAGAACTCAAGACCTTGCGCTTGCAAGGCAGGCAGTATAACCACTAAGCTAAACCCCTGGCCCTGTTTTTGAATTTTTATTACAAAACTAGACACATACATATTTACAGATTAATAACTTGTTTTTATTTCCACTTAACATGGTATTGTATTTTTTCAAAGTCTTCATATAGTTTTCTTTTTTTCATAGTTTTTGAAAACATGATTTCTGGTGACTATGACAAGCATAAAAATACACATAAAACTATTTCCAGAACTGATATATTTGAAACTATCACTATATTGTCTATTCGCTTGTTTTTCTCATTCTCCTTTTCTTTCTTTTCCCCATTTTGTTCTTGCAATATCTATTGCTGCCCCTACATTCTTTTTCCCTCTAGGGAATTGGAAAGCATTTACTCCACGTTTGCCAAAAAAAGAACTGCTCCACTTTCCTCATTGGGCTTTTCCACCCATGCCCTCTACACACATGCTCTTCCCTTTTTCCAGCCTGACAAAATCTTTCTTAGCTTTCAAAATCTCTGAGGTCCAGCTGTCTGGGAGGCTGAGGCAGGAGAATGACAAGTTCGCGCCCAGCCTGGGCAATTTAGCCACTTCATGAGGCCCTGTTTCAAAATAAAAAAGGCCTCAGAACGTAGCTCAGTGTGAAGGCTCTGGGATCAATCCCAGTACCAAGGGAGGAAAAATAAAACAAATATAAATCCACTTGAGAGGATTAACTCATTCATTCAAGTGATCATTCACTGAGGACCAGGTGCGAGCCAGGCACAGTGGCCACCAGAAAGACAGCAGTGGAGGTGACAAAGTCCCAGAGACAGACTCTCTCGGGAAGCCCACTCCTCCCTCAGAAGCAGCGTGCCTTTTCTTTTGGTGAAACTCCCTGCACCTCCACTTTAACACTCATAACATCTGTCATTTTCTGGACTGGGAACCATTATTGGGGTGCCTTCCCCACCCTGCTTCCTACAGGATTCAGAACAACCACCTCTGTAAAGGAGAGGGAGTGGCAGTATTGTCTAAACCTGTAACTGGGGTGCAATTTTTTGACACGTCTGAGGCCACAGCGCTGTATCCCTGAGGGATTTCTGCAAGTGAGTTCTGCTGTTGGGGCCTCAGGCTGTGCCCACAGCGTGGGGCAGGGGCCTCCGTGTGGCCGGGTCTGCGGCCTGGCAGCACAGGCTGGATTTCCATCTGCTCCGCTCCATCCACACACATGGCTCAGCCCTTTGCCACAGACCAGAGTGGGGGTCGCGGACGTGGCACCGCTGGATTTGTGGACGCTTCCTGTCCCTTCTCCCACTGTCAACGGAGCCACCCGGGGCGCCCTGCACAGGCCACAGGCCAGCACAGTCAATCCCACTCCCACACCCCTTTAGTAGGTCAGTCTGTCTCGGCATCTGCCCCTCTGACTCAAGGAATTCCTCTGTGCAAAATTCCCTTTGCCTGGGGACACCAGCCACCCGTGGGCTACCCTGCGACCGCCTGTCCACTCAGCCTGGAGAAGGATGGCAGAAAGGGGAGACACTGGCCCACCCTAGAACATGGGGGTGTCAGCGGGACTTACTGTGCCGTCCCGCTGCTCGGGCAGATCCCCTCCGGCCTGTGAGTGTGTGTGTGCCTGCGTGCGTGTGTTGAAGAGAGGGAGCCTTTGAAGAGGGGATGCGGTAGCTGAGAGCCTGCACTTGGTCACATATTCCATCTTTCTGAGAAGCCTGAATTCTCTTGTTTTGTTTTTTGCAACAGAGTCTTGCTATGTCGTTCAGGCTGGCCTTAAACTCACGGAGATCCTCCTGCCTGGCCCTCCTGAGTGCCGGGAGTACAGGCGCGCACCACACACTAGGCCTGTCAAGCCTGCATTCTTGCTTAGACTCAGACTACCGAGTTAGAGTTGCCCGTGAGTCCGCATCTGAGCAAAAGTGAGAGCACTTGTGTTCCCAGTGGCTCTGTACCCCACACTGAGGCAGCCCCTCCTCAGCCCCCATCGTGCCCCCTCCTTCAAACTGTCCCTTCAATACCGCCACCTCTTGCACAGAGAGCTCACCAGGAGGGGTCCCTCACAGGTGGCAGCCTTCCCAAGAACCACCCTACCCCGGCCAGGGAAGTGTCGAAGGCCCAGCAGCCCAGTCCCTAGGTGTGGCAGAGTGGTAGCTTGGGCTAGGGCATCCCTGGGTCCTGGGGCTCAGGAGGTCACAGGCTCCCTCAGAGCAAAGCTAGACAGCCAGCCCCAGCCAGCCGAGGCTCCAGGGAGGCCCAGAGCAACCCCTGCTGAGGGTTGAAGCCCCAAGAGAGGGGCTCATGGCTGTTCCCGTAGGATGTCCTAACGAGGGCCCCCACGTACGCACACTTCACAAAGTTTTGTCCTGGGGAGTTGGCCGGATTGTCATTTCCTCCTTCTTCCCAATATCTGGCCTCCCCAGGGGCATCCTCGGAGAAATCCTGGGTCAGTAAGGTTGGGATCGAGGCGATTCAGCAACTGGTTCCAGGTGAAGAAAGCTGGGGAGGGGACTGAGGGATTCTTGAGGAGGCAGGCTGGTTTGGTCTGCAACAGCAGGGGCGGGCTGCGGCCAGGTCTAGATGCAGATGCAGACGTGGGAGGGCGCTGGCAGGGGGGCCCAGGAGAGATGCTGGGCAGAGCGAGAATCCTGGGGTTGCCGGTGTGGGCATGGGGGAAGTGAAGCTGAGAGGGAGGCTCCTGCTATTCACAGCCACTGAGGTGCTGCCCTGTCGGTGGCGGGGCCCTCGGGAGCAGGGTCCTCCACAGCCTCGTCCTTACTGCCCACCAGCGGCTCTTCCTCGCCCTGCAGGCAGGGGCCTTGCCCGGACTTCAGCTCCTCCATGGCCAAGGAGCCCTGGTGAGACTTCCGTCTGCTAAAGAAAGTGGTGAGCATGGGCCACTGGGCAGACCCCTCTGTCTCGGGGACCCCAGAGCCCTTGTCACCCAGGGGCCCTCCCACTGCTGCTGTCACAGCCTCCTCGTCAGGGACCTGTGCGGGCCCAGCCCAGGCATTCACCACCCCATTGTGCTTCCCGCCGCCGCTCAATGTCAGGACCCCTGTGCGGCGCTTCTGCCGCTGGCGCCACAGCAGGAACAGTGCCACGAGCACCATGACCACCAGCAGGGTCACCAGCAGGGGCACCAGCATCATGCCCTTCCGCCCCTGGCCTGGGCTTGTAGAGGGCTCAGTGCTTGTGCTTGTGGAAGGCTTTGGGGTGGTCACCATGGATACTTTTATGGTGGAGACTGGGGAGCTGCTGGCCACATTGGAGGTTACCGGGGAGCTGATTGTCATAGAGACAGGAGGGCCACTGGTCCCACTGGAGGGCTCTGGAGAGCTAGTTGTCATGGTAACAGAAGTTCCACTGGCCCCACTGGAGGTATCCACAGAACGTGTTGCCATGGTGACAGGGGGTCCACTGGAGGTTTCCAGAGAGTTTGTTGCCATGGTGACAGAGGATTCACTGGTCCCACCAGAGGTTTCCACAGAGGTAAATGCCATGGCTGCACCTGTCACAGTGGGGTGTCCCTGAGAGCTCACTGCTACAGGGACAGCAGGGCCACTGGTTGCACTAGAGATTTCCAGCTCTGATGGCTTCTGGGTAGAATCCACCTTGGAGGGCGCTGGCTCAGACACAGCAGGGCCAGTGCTGGCACCAACAGAACTCCCAAGAGAGGGCACCTCGCTGTCTCTAAAGGGAGTGGAGGGGGCTGGGGTGGAGACCTGATTGCTTGCGCTGTGCTCTGAAGAGGCCCTCGTCACTGGCTCCATGGAGGTCGCTGAGTCCGAGACTAAAGAAGTGGAGTTTCCCAAGATGGGCATCAGCAAAGTCTCCTGTGGACTCACCAGCGGGCTCCAGAAGCTCCCAAAGAAGAGAAGCAGCAGGGCCATTTCCAGGGCAGCAGGCATGAGCAGGAGTTGGGACCCGAGCTGGGGAAGTTGAAGAAACAGAACACACTGGGGCTGGGGGGAGCCCTGGCCAGGACTTGCTCTCCTGCCCACTTCCCTGCCAACTGCCAGGCCCAGCGTGCGGTCTAACGGCTTTTTCCACCCTTGTTTTTCTATTATCAGAAGCAACAGGGGGCCAGACGCAGCAGCGCCCTGTTGGCCCAGCCCATGCATCACTCTGTCCAGCTGTGCTGCTCGGGCTCCGGCAGCACCCCTGCCCTCCTGGCCTCCCCACTTCTGCGCAGCCCACTGGCCCCATCCTCTCTTTCCATCACCTGTCAGGGTCTGTTCAAGACAGGCCATTCCAGCCCCTCCAAGGCCGCTGTGCCCCAGGTCACACCTTCTTACCAACTTAGGTGATACTGCACAGGGCTGGGCCGACCACACCAACTCCTGCGGAGGCTCAGGCACAACTGGGGGAACCGGGCCCCAAAAGGAAAGGAAGTGGACCCTGGCTCCACCCACCCCACCCTGCATCCTGCTGCACCCTTCTGTCCTCTCACAGGGCGGGGACGTGGGACCCTGAGATGAGGCCTGGGGGCCCAGGGCAAGGCTAAGGCAGGAAACAATGTGGGGGGCCCAGAGCGGGAATTCCTGCATCTTGGCTGGTGTCAGATAAGAATGTGCCTGAGAACAGGGGCACAGAAGAGGCAGAGGAGGAGATGGCTGGAAGGGCGGTTTCCTTCGAATCTGTGGTCCCTGAGCTGTTGGTTGGGACTTGGGTACATTTCCTCCCCCAAGAGTTTCCAGGAAGCAGCAGGTGCCTGGGGAAGCACCAGGCTCTGGCTGGGGTACTGAAAACTTTGCAGGCTGCTGAGCCCTGACTAAGCCACAAGGAGTTGGAGGTCACTGCAGTGCTTCTCCCCAAAGGAGATGCTCAACTCAGGCAGTTACTAAAGCACCACATAAGCTGTGATCTTTGTTTGTTTGTTGTTTTTGGTGACAGAGTCAGACTGGCCCTGAATTTAATAGATTCTCTTGCCTCAACCCCCAGTACTGGGATTACAGATGTGTGTCGCCATGCCTGGCTATGATCTTATTTTGGAAGGAGACTAGTAAAGGCATGAGAATCTATACAGAAAGCACTCTAGAAAGATGTCTACTGAGGGACTAACCAGATTATCTTCAGCTAGGTAAGAGTAGGGTGTTGTGCCAGGCATAGTGGCACACACCTGTGATCCCAGCACTCAGAAGGCTGAGGCAGGAGGATCACCAAGAGTTCAAGGCCAGCCTGAACTACATAGCATAACCCTGATTAAAAAAAAGAGGTAAAGTGGGACCGAGGATTTAGCTCAGTGGTTTTGCTGTCTGCTGCACAAGCACAAGGACCTGAGTTCGATACCCGGTACCTAAAAAAAGAGGGTAAAGAAAGAAAGAAAAAAAAAAAGACTAAAGAGTTCTTTATCCCCCTCTCCCAGCCCCACAGTTCTGGAGTTTGAACCCAGGGCCTCAAGTATGCTAAACAGGCAGTCTATCATGGAGCTACCCCCTAGCCCTAAGTAGAGTGTTCCTTTGGATAGTGTTTGTTTCCTGACTTTCCTCTAATTGGCAAGCTTTGAGATTTTGGGATGTGCATTTGGTTTTTGCTGTTGTTTTTTTTAAAATCAGTATTTTTATACTGTAAAAGCTATACTTGTGCATAACAGAAGATTAAAACAGGTCCCTGGTGGGCCAGGGATTTAGCTCAGTGGTTCTGCTGCCTGCCTCGTAAGCACAAGGTCCCAAGTTCGGAGTTCGATCACCGGTACCAAAACAAAACAAAACAAATAAACAGCTCCCTGGTAGAATGTAGTGTGGGACTGCATAACCTTTGTTCCTTTTTCTCCAGCCCCATTGTGATTAAAATGTGAGTTAATGGATGGAGATGCTTGTTAGTTTAGGGACGCTAGATAGGGATCTGTAACAGACCTAGAGTCCCAGATAGTTTAGGGACTCTAGATAGGGATCTGTAACAGACCTAGAGTCCCAGAGTAAACTACTCAACTCTTTGTTTACCCGGAACTGATATTCCAGGCACCACAATTGTTAGAACAAGCTGCAGATGTCTGCTGACCATCAATATGTGACAG